GGTCATAAGTTACTTGACGTTTCTCAGTCAACTGAACGACAGATGATGTGTTCGCAAGAATTTGTGAGACTAACCGAGACAAGAATGACTTCTATATTACATTTAGAGAGGGCACATAATTAATAAAAAAATACTCCGCGTTTGAAAAAAGGACTTTCCAGATTCTCTTTTGACCATGAGCTTCTTTCCTACTCCTACACTGCCAAAGGAGACATTCCCAACTATTCAAATGAATATATCGACCTCCCTCTAAACTCTTCGTCTTCGGCCATATGTGCAATTTGTTATTCTTATGTAAGTATTAGACAAGTGATGTGGATTCCCGTGAAATCATTCATTTAATGTCAGATCATCTTCTATGTGTGGAAGATGAATCATCTATACCAGAGTGACCATACTGGCAGTGGACGACGAATTAAGGAATATAGGTATGTGTAGTCCCAAAATTTATTTACGCAAGAGCAAATGCTTTGTTCTAGATATGCCTTGCAATTTTGTGCAGTATCTGTGTTTTATTTGGGCGCATGGGTCACCTTTCGTGTGTTTCCCATATTAATTGGGGCCAGAGGAGTGGAATATTTCGTTGTTATCTCAGCTTGTGTGACCATAAATGCATCAGCGAATGCTGTGGTTTATATCACATCAAACCCAGAGGTGAATATTTTTTTCAGTATTATATTCATGATAACAAAGTTTACGGTAGTGAAAGAAAAGTTTTATACATACAAAGCTCTTCAGAAGGAGGTTAGAAAAATGTCTATTTACACAACTCCATTTCAGGTTCGCGGGGTTCTTTCAAACGCAAAGATCAGCACAATGGCTTTTGCCAGTCAGTCACGTAACGGTCATGGGCCCAAAACTAATCCCACACCCTTGCAACTCAGTTCTCAGAGAGAGACATAAGGTCTATTTCCTAAAGCTTTCAGTTCTCTTTTATATCAATGGCATATTTTTCGAAGACCATGATTGATTAAAATTCTTGCGCGCATGTATAGTACTTGGATTTGTTGTGAAATGTTAGATATGCACTATTCAACATGAGATCGTTCTGTTGCAATTCGATTTGACTGAAGTCATCGCTGATCGGCCGTCATTACAATCAAATTATTGTTTGAGATTTATGGTAAAAGAATAAATGATTGTCACAAGACTCAGGCTCATTTCATGAAGTTAACGAAACATTGATTTTTCAAAGGATGGAAAACATGCAAAAACATCTTTCCTTATTGATGTGTAATAATAGTTGGAAAACCTTTCAGATATACTATTTCATGAGTTGAAACCTTTTTTGCAAGAGCCTCAGCTTGACAAGAGGCAACTATGAAGTCAG